CCTTTACTTTTGAGAAACACGTATGGAGAAGTTAATTTGATTTTTCAATTTCAACTGAGAAGGGTACCTACAAGTATCAGTATAATCTTATGAAATTTAACTACTGCTGCCAAACTTTAATTTATATGATCTTATTTTTATATTAATCTCAGTTATGACATTTTTCCATAAATTAAATATCAAAATTAATAATAAAATGAATGGAAATACAAATAACACAGTAAAATATAATAAATGTACATACAATTATAGTATTTTATGTACACTTCTGATAAAATTTCATAAGAAAGTTACATATAAATAAATTAGATACCTTTCTTATGGAATTTTAGCTCACTCTTAACAGTCTTATTTTTTAATTTCTTTGTAATATATTTTTCATAAAGCATCGTAAACGTAAAGATGAAAGCTAAGTACAAAAAAAAATTAAAAAATTAAAAAATTAGAGCGCTGAAAATTTTCCTTAAAAGTAACGCGGTAAATAATTTGTTCACTTAAATCTAAATAATTTCACTTCCTTCCATTCGTAGAAAGAATTATCCTCCCGTAAGCTATCTAAACGTCATGAAAATGTCTTTCGTCACCTGTCAAGTGACGTGAAAGTTTATAACCTGCTTTGTTTTATTTTCAAATTACATTTTTTCGGCGCAGAAGCTAAGTTAAGCTTGGTTCAAAATATTTTAAATAAACATTATATTTTCTGATTCTATTAAAATAAGTTTTGAAAAAAAATGATAATTGATTTTTAAAAGAATGTCAAAGTGAGATTTTCATCTTTTTTATAAAATGGAAAAAATGATTGAAAATGAGTGATTATCCGTCCTTTTTTATGACAAAAAAATACAAGTTTTTTAACGAAAATTTCGGACGTACTAGGAAGGATTAAAAAATGTAAAAATATACCCCCAAAATACTTTGATCTTTCCTCTTTAATAATAATATGAACATTAGACGATAAAATTTTGATTACGTCAAGTTCGGCGTCTTTTTCATCATACTCTTTTTGTTTACATTTCGTGGAGGTACCTAGTTTAATATAATGTTTTTAAAATGGAAAATATTACTTGAAGCTTTCATTTTCGTTTTAATTTCAAGCTAATAGATGAAATTTGATATTTCCAATCAGCAAATACTTGCATTAAGATAACTTAAATTTTCTGGAATGCTTTTTTGTTTTGAAATAAGATAAAAATCGCAGATTTAAACGTCGTTGCTAGCTAACTGTCATCACAATTTAAATCTGTTTATTAAAAACGGATTTCAATGATAAAATATACTTGACTGAAACTTTATTTAAGGAATAAGAGATGATTTAAAGCTAAATTTAATCTGACTTAAAATCAATATTGCTTTTCGTTGGAAATATTGCAAAAATGCATTTTTAACACGAAGGTAGGTATTTATTCGAGGTGTTGACAGCTTGACAGCTTGACTGACAGACGGAAGTTTATGTAATAGTTAACTACACTGGACATATCTGCAAAATTACTAAAAGTGGGGTGCTTTTTTATATAATTTTTAACTATCCATTAATCTAAACTTTTTTAGAGAATATTCTCAATAATCTAATGAGTTAATTCAGTTTAGGTATGTTGGCTTTAAATTTATTATAGTTATCGATCTCATTTTCTGATAATGTCGTGTGTGAACGTCCGTATTTACAAAAATCAGCACATTTATAGAAAACAAAAATCAATCAAATGTTTATTAAATACGGGAGGCTTGAAGAATTGAAGTAAGCTTTTCCACTTTTGATTATTGCATATAGTTTTTAATTAATAACAATATCGCCAAACCGGTACAAATCAATACGAAAGTTTAATAGATTTAAAATCTATGAATTATTTTAAGACTTTAGTCTCCATGATACTTGAAAGCTTTTTTGATTAAATAATGTGTGGTACTATACTCTATGTACCATTCATTTTCTATTACGATATGATATATATAATTCATTTCTATTCTGATATGTTATCTACCATTCATTTTCTACTTTTCATTTGATATCTGCTATTCATTTTCTATTATGATATGATATTTACTATTCATTTTCTATTATGATATGATATTTATCATTCATTTTCATACTATATGATATCGACTATTCATTTTCACTGTGATATGGTATTTACTATTCATTTTCTACTAAGATATGATATCTATCGTTCATTTTCTGCTATGATATGTGCCATTCATTTTCTATTATGATATATCTACCATTCATTTTCTACTATGATATGATATCTATCATTCTTTTTCTGCTATGATATGTGCCATTCAATTTTTTTGTTAAAAAAAATAAAGTTATCAAATAGTGATTTTAATGTTCGTAAACTGATATGATGCAATTAAAAAAAATAAACCGGTCATCGTTTTTCTCCTGTAATTTTCAGCAATAATGAGTGCATTGTCATTTACCATAGATAGCAAATGCCTAGGTAGATATATTATAGTAGCAGCAAATGATGTCTTAGTTTTATTGCGTTTTTTTTTTACGATT